CACACTGACAGGTCCTCTTTATGGAGACATTAGGGGTCTCTAGGACCCCTGTCACCTGTGGACCCCAAAAAAAACCCCGGCGGACGCCGCGCGGGGGGGGGGGGGGGGGCTTTCTGCAGTGCCATTGGTGTGAATGTCACCACCATGCTCCTTCCCAGAACACAGGGACACTTCCACTATGCGATCTAGTGCGTTCCAGCCACTCACTGTGCCAGAACGCACTGGAGATGGTGTGAACCAGCCTTCAAGGAGCTAAGAATCTAAGGTCCCTATTGTACACACATACAGGGCCAATTTATACAGGAGCCAATAAACCTACCTGCATGACTTTGGAGTGTGGGAGGAAACTGGCGACCCGAAGGAAACCCAGGAAAGTACAGGGAGAACATGCAAACTCCATGCAGATAGTGTGACTTTTATGTTGTATGGCCTCAGGCATCTGTGTGCATATAGAAATTGGCAAATTTTTTCACTCTTTCCCCCTCGATCTCTGTTCATTCCCGCTGAAGGTTGCAATACACCTTACAATTATCGTACGATTTATTTTGTCCCATCATCGCACCCTCGTTCAATTTCCGCTCAAATAGCTCATCATGCACAGACCAATGTAGATTTTGATAATCGTTCATCAGCAATACTAACTGATCGAATTTCGTCGATCATCAGAACAGATTTTCGTTTCGCGTATGCAGTGTTCATGTTGCCTTTTTTTTCCGTACGAAAAACGCCACTAATCCATCCATTTTCGTACGATTCAAAAAAAGTTATGTAGTCTGCCCGTAAGGCGAAATTCGTCCAGTTGTACAGTAATTGTGATCGTTGACTTTCCATCAACTGACTGATTATCGTTTGAAAATCAAGTGATAATTGCAAGGTGTATGGGCACCTTAAATCCCTGTGTGACTGCAGACTGTGATCTTGAAACGTCCATTGGCAGGTTATATTGACTATTGCAACTCCCTCCTCATTGGCCTTCCACTACACAGGTTATTCCCTTCAGTCTATCATGAATGCAGCTGCTAGACTCATCCACCTGACCAACAGCTCAGTGTCTGCCACCCCCTTCTGCCGATCCCTGCACTGGCTTCCACTTGCCCAAAGGATAAAATTCAAAATATTAACAGTATTAACTTATAAAGCCATCCACAACTCTGCCCCCGGATATATCTCAAACCTGGTCTCAAAATATCACCCTAACCGTCCACTCCACTCTCCTGCTTTCCAGCTCCCTCGTCAACTCCTCCAGGAGCTCTCTACAGTCTCTCCCATTCTCTGGAACTCTTTACCACAACCTGTCCATATATCTCCCACTCTGACTACCTTTAGGCGATCCCTTAAGACTCATCTCTTCAGGGAAGCCTATCCCACCTCAACCTAACCACTGAACCATCACGTTCTCAAACAATTCATTCCCACACAGCATCCTCCTCATGTATCACATCTCCCTCCCTTTTAGATTGTAAGCCCTCACGTGCAGGGCCCTCCTTACCATCTTGTCTTGAATTTTATTGTGATTCCTTATATTGTAAAGTGCTGCACAAACAGTTGGAGCTATATAATTCATATATAATAATAATATTGCCCCCCACACCGTACACACCGCTACCTCCGTCATTCCAAACCAGACCCCTTTTATATTGTAGAATCACATTTCCCTTTTAATTAGCCCCCCCAGGCTGCGAAGGTTAAAATAACAGGACTTCCCCTCATTACAGTAATGAGTAACTCACATTTACATCTGAATTGTA